GATGAAAGACATTTTTTGCAAGTCTAATGCCATGAAAAACTCTGATTGCTTCCTCTGGTCGGGGATCAGTTGTGTCCTCACGTAGAGCGTTTATACATCAAGTGATGGTAGAAAAGAGATGGATATGGATGAATTTAGCTTGACAACTAGAGTTCTGATGATACTCTGGTTGAGAAAAGAAAAAAAAAGACCTAAAATTTGGTCTTTAGTACCAACTTTGTCACGAGATCATGACCTGAAGAGTAGAAATCTGGATAAAAAAAGCTGAGATGATTTTCCTCCATAGGGCTTCTGACTGATTGTATTAAAGTCCCACATAATTAAAACATGATTTTCTGTTTTATAGAAAAAATAACCCACCCTCAGCATTAACAGATGGTGAGGCGCCTCATGGCGGCCCTAAGGAAGTTTCTAGATACATCCCACTGAGAGCAGACCCTGGGGAAGAACTACCTGCAGAGACTTTGAACATCTAGGGAACTATAAATAATAGAGAGTGTTGCTTGGGAGGGTTTTTTCTGGAGTTTGCAAAACTTAAAATCAAACTTTGTGACACATTTGAGTTTTTCCTTTGGATAATATTCCATTAGCCTGCCACTGTGAGGGAAATACTTGTTTTCTTTGAGCACAGGCTAAATACTGGTTGCTGAGCGTTATGGAGCCATCGGTTGTCTTTAAAATGAATTTTGTTACATTTTTGTTTCAGGTGAAGAATATGTTTCGTAAATGGAAATTTAAGAAATAAAAAGATGATTCGTTGATGGAGTTTTGGTTAAAAAAAAATGCAATCAAAAATGAAATATTTAAAGACTTCTTAATCATATAAAGGTTTTGAGAGTGAGTTTGCTGTTTTGTCAAATTCTGTTTTTCGAAAATTGAATTCTAGATTTTATATTTAAATTTTCTTGTTTTTCAAATTTGATTAATATATTTCCATATTTTATATTTCGGATTTTTTTTTTCTTATTTCTCTTTAAAATTTTTTGTTTAACAGATCACATTCTCTTCACTTCAACCCCAATGCAAAAACTCAACTCTTCACCTATAAAAATGTTGTTGCTACAGTTCATGCTGCAAAATAGAAAATATAAAAAAACTTACAATTTATAAAATAACATTCTTATAAAATTAAATTAGAAAATAAATACTTCTAAAACATAAAATCTAAAATTAATTTGATAAAATAAAACAATTACTGAGACATTACTCTTAATTCTTCCTGGAGAGATTCACACCGAGAAAAGCTTCAATTAGAAAATATTAAATTTATTTATACAAGTAACACAGCTGGTTTTCCTTAGATAGAAATATGTTGAAGAATTTGACTGATTGCAAGGATTTGCTGACTCTCTGCAATGCCGCACACTGAGCATGCATGTAGCGACAGTGGAGAGGAAAACTCCCTTTTAACAGGAAGAAAACTCCAGCAGAACCAGGCACAGTGTGAGCTGAGGCTGACTGGGGTTCAAGGAGACAGAAGCATATAAAGACATACATGAAATAAGTTCTTTGGCGCTCGGGCCCCGGCGGAAGACTTTAGTGCTGTGAATCAACGTACGCTCAGATGAGTAACCTACAAAAGGATTAGAGTAGTCTTTCCCCTGGGGCCTGGACACTGGTGGGTTAATAAGCCAGAGGATGAGTGGGGCTGAGAATGAGGGAGAAGATGGGGTAGGAGGAGGAAAGTTCAATTGTGTGTAGGAGAGAGAAGCTGGGCCTGGAGCTAAATGAAGGAGATCTTGCATGATGATTGACTTCAGAGAAGGTGTGGCCCCCGAGCTGATTGCCTGGAGCTAAACTAGGGGCATTGCAGGTGGTTTAGGTAAAGTTGATAAGAGTCATCGATTTCTGGTTGACCTTGAACAACTTCTTCTACTTCAGCTAAAATCCTTGGTATCACTTTCATCCTGAAATGTTCCATAAAGCTAAATGCTAATCCTGCTGATATTAGTGATTCAGTACTTTGCATATTAAAAATCGCTCAAGTCAAACCTCTAACTTTACTCTGTGCCGGGGGAAGGAACAAAAGGCTCCTCACTGGGGGGTAAATTAACAGCTTGAATAAAGAAAAAGCTGGAAAATGAATCCCCAAACACTCGCTACCTCATCCACAAACTGCATCCTGGACTATGTGGACCATGTTGGACTTCTCTAAGAAAATATGAAGAAACTTTGTTGTTGTTTTTTCTTTGTTTTTTTTTTCTGATAAACTCAGTTTATCTGTATTGAACCTTTGAATGTCCACTCTGGATAATGTTCGGTGAAATAATGCAGTGATTCAGCATTGGGTTTTATGCATGGCCAACCTGCAGCTATAGGCCTCTCAGTTTTCGCTGCACCCTTGCAAACACAGAACGCTGTGGCTTCTCTTCCTTTCACTTTCCAGACATTCATTCCAGCCATTACTTTATCCCTTCACTGCATCTGATGACTGATTGTTTCCATGTGGGCCTCTTAGACCCATAATACCAGCTTGTCACTTCCTCAGACGTGAACATACCTGAATGACCTAAAGGTTCCATCAGAAGGCAGCAGCTGTAATTTATTTTTTCTCCATCTCTGAATTTTTTTGTGTCTGCTCTCATCTTGGAACGCTTTTTGGGACTTTAGTGCCACGGCTGTCATATTGTGGTAATCTTCTTTACTTTTCACAGACAGCATTTCATGGCGTTAATGCAGGTACTGGAAGAACTCACTGTGAAAGAGTGAAGGGAAGCGTTTCGTCTTGAGATTCTTTAATAGAATTCAAGTCATATATTTATAACATGTCAGCTCCATTGACTGGTTGTTCAGTGGAGCTGGAAATAAGGTGCTTGTTCAGGAAGTCCAGCCCATTTGTTCCCAGGTACATAGAGATGAATCAAGGCCTTAATGCTCATAGTTCTGCAACCTTTTACTTCCAAACTGCCTTTTTTTCCATTCAGTCCAGGGAAATAAAACCAGCCTAGAGCTAAAACTGTTAAATTACCCTTTTTGATTAAAGAATAAAAACTCATGATTATTAATAAACATCTACAAAAGCTAATTTATTGTCATTTTCAAAGGTTGAGGAGTATAAATACCTTGGTGTTCACTTTGACAACAAACTAGACTGGAGATGCTACTTTTCAGCCATCTACAAGAAGGGACAGAGCAGATTGTACTTCCTGAGGAGGCCTAGGTCCTTCAGTGTTTGCAGCAATATGTTACATATCTCCTATCAGTCTGTTGTGGAGAGTCTGATATCTTCCTCCATCCTTTGCTGGAGTTACAGCATCAGAGCTAATGATTTAAACATTTCAGCAAGGCCAGCTCTGTTCATAAAGTGAAGAAAATTTTTAACTACAGTGATCATCCTCTTCAGAAGATTCAGTCAGAGGCTTTACCTGATCTGGTGCAAGACAGACCACTACAGAAGATCATTCCTGCCTACAGCTATCAACACCTACAACCCCTGGTAAAACAAAACAAAACAAACAAAAAAAAAAGGCATATGAATTCCTGCAATGTATAATTTCCCTTTGGGATTAATAAAGTATTTTTTAAATTTAAATTGAAAACAATACAACTTTAAAAAAAAAAAAAAAAAAAAATAATAATTTGTTTTTTTTTCTGAGCCAAGATTGTATGATCAGAGGAACATATTTTGTCTTTCGGAAACTAAACTCTGATTCATGCTGAAAGTTAACAGAACCATAGCTTAACAGATCCAACTATTTCAGATTGATTTATCAGCATCAAGAAAACTGAAATGAAGATAAT